CAACGCAGCGGGGAGGCCGGCAGTGGAGCAGCCCAGGCGCGCTTGGGCTGCCTCGCTGCCCGAGCCCCCTCCTCCCCCGCGGCTTTGCTCCGCGTCTTCCTGGTCTGCAGACCAGGGAGACGCGGAGAAAGCCCCGGAGTACACGGGCGGCAGGACCGCGAGGTCCCGCAGTCCGTGTCCTCCGGGGGAGCCCCGTTCGTAACTGCGGATCCGACGTAAGTCGGATCTGCGTAAGTCGGGGACTGCCTGTATATCAAAGGGATACAATCAAAAAAAGTGAACACATATAAAATTGACAAATCAGATTTTAGAATAGAGGGGAGGCGGGGGGATGGCTGCATTTCTATTACTATATAAACTGATAGTTCAGTAACAAAAATGTTAGGCTTTGTCTACACATTTTTGCAGCAGAAAATATGCTGAGAGGCTCATTAGCTTAAGTCGCAACACCATTTGCGTATTTTCTGCCATTTCTTTTTGTACAGGGGGTTTTTGCGCAAAAAGAAGCAGTGCGGATGAGATTTTTTTGTGCAAAAACCCTGCTTTGTGCAAGATCCTTATGCCTCTCCGGAACAGACATAAGGATCTTGTGCAAAAGGGGGGTTTTGTGCACAAAAAACCCCTTGCACAAAAAGAAATGGCAGAAAATATACTAATGGTGTTGTGACTTATGCTAATGAGTCCCTCATTAGCATATTTTCTGCCACAAAAACGTGTCGTGTAGACGTAGCCTTAAAGAATGCTTCTGAAAGTTTTTTAAATAAGTACCTGGATTAATTGTTCACATACTTTTATAAGATTTTGACCACAGATCTCAGTTTAGTTGTAGGAAGGTTACCAATTAAAATGTTGTTTGAAAACTAACATAGACTAAAATGAAAGACATTTCAATGAGATTTCCTTTTAATGTTGTAGCTTTTCAAAGAGCCTCACTTTTTGAAAACATAATCCTTAGGCTCTATTGAACATCAAGAATGAAGACCAGGTAGGAAGATTTTTAAAGGCACACATGGCAGGGACGCACCTAACTAATAGAAAAGTATCAGAAGCAAGGTGCCTCACTGCCATGTGTGCCTTTGAAAAATCTCCTGTCAGATGTTCACTATCTGCCATTGGAGTATATGGGTTTATTTTAAAATGGCAGTACCCAAAAATAGAGGGATGAGCATATGCCTGCTTGTGATTTCTTAAAACTACATATGTTATTTAGCTATTAATGGAATGTCCTTTTTTTTATCCCATGTCACACTAGTACATAGTACATAAAAACCTTGATTATTTATATTTGTATGTGTATGCATATATATTAAATGTAACGTACCTTGCAGGCATTTCAAAATGAAGTATATCTTGGACTAATGAGAGCATGTACTTGTTCATTTCCAATGGCAATTCTCCAATAGAAAGCAAGAGGTTTTTCACTTCCATGTAGGATGGGTTACTGCTGAAAATGATGGCAGCTGCAGTTGTTCTCAGGGTCTTTTCATAAATTTTATGATTCTGGTGATAAATCCTGTTCATTGTTTCCTTCACCTGATCAAAAAACAGAGTATTCACTTCATAAGTCACATATATCCACAGAAAATACACAGATTGGGATCATACTAATTTATAATGTCTGAGATGCAAACACATAGCCTGAGTCCTGCGTAGTCTAGGTCCATAGCTCATATATCATCAATGGTTGGTGCAGGACAGCAGCAGAAGCACAGAATGCAATGCAATGACATCAGGCTTTCACTCTCTGATAATCTTACATTTCTCTGCAGTTCCATTTGCCATAATCTCTCTGTATTTTCTTGACCTAACACTTTGCTGGCTGCTGGGAAGGAAGACAGAGGTACACCTCTCTCTCCTTCGTACCACCCATTTTCCTATGTCAGTGCTGGTTGGGGAGCAAGGAAGGATCCTGTTTATTCTGGTTCACAGGTTCAGCATTCCCTTCAATGTATCTTTGTGTGCCACACAGCAAAGTGAGCATATTTGTGAATGGAGTTCAGATCAGAGCTGGGATCTCCCCATCCTGTACCATAATTGTTGAATATGACTCTAGAGCCAAAGACTAACTCTGACATTCTAGATACAGCACGATGGGAAGAGATGGACTTCAAAACTGCCAGCAACAGTTTCCTATGCACACCCTGAAAGGGTACAAAAGACCATTTATTGAAAGAAAAAATATCTAGTGCAAACTGAAATAGGGTGGGACAAGAAGCATGAACTTCATTGAATTTATATTTCATTTTAAATGTCCTCTCTTGTACCATTTTCTCTTGCAGTAAGACTTCTCACCTCACGAGTGATGAAAGAGATGTCATATCTCTGCAGAGCTGTGGCAGCAATGTTACTGATGGGCCCTTCTCCAGACTCAACATATTTTAGCAGCAGCGGAATTGCTTCAGGCAGAACGGCGTTCTTCACAGCCAGCAGGTACATCTTCATATCATCCTCTTTCATTGCTGTGTCTAATCTTCCAAGGATCAGCTTCTTAGCTCGCACAACAGACTGAAAAGAAAATTGATGCCACATTTAAGAAGATCCTCTGAGGTGCTAAGTGCTTCCCGCAGGGTGCTAAGCATGCTCAATGGGAGTAGGAGTTGCAGGACTGGGTTTTTAAACCTTGGTTGGTTTAAAACATAATTGGCCACATTTAGCACAGGTATGACTTTTCAACTGCATACTGAAAACTTCCTTAATCCACAGGCATGCACAATCCCTAAATACGCTACTCATTCAGCATGCATGTTTTGGTTCAAGGAAAGTACAGACTCCAGTGCTATGGCCAAGAAACACAATTAAATAATTGTAATGGAAAGCAATGACCCAGGAGATCTTCTTTCAGGCTTATTCATACAGTACTATAGGAATGCATGACACTTACCAGAAAAATAAAAGGTAAATACCTGGATGCTCTGAGACTCTTCAGCAGTGCAAAGGAGTCATACATCCAGCAGATCTGGATAACTGGGGATTCCTTGACCCTCAGGTGGCTATATTATTTGTCATGATCCAGAGACTAGCATAGAATCAGTCCTAGGCACTCCCATCCTGAGCTGCACTGAGCACAAATTAGAGACAGCCCAGCACAAATTAGAGACAGCCCAGCACTTGGACCAATATTCCTGCTCCAGCGAATTTGTAATCTAAGTTCTTTCTATAGCTTAGATAGAGCCAGATTGCATAAAGCCCAGGGGACACCAAAAACTTCTGTAAAATGAGACAAAAATGCCACCTCTAACCGGCAGTCTTGAAACATACAGGCCTTTGGGCTTAGAGACAGGGCTGATATTAAGTTACCCTAGTGTGAATCAGAAATCAGCAGAGATTTATGCATGCACAATGAATGTAGAGAGCACAGAATCAGGCTCCAATGGCACAAAATAAAACCTGTTGTAAAGAAAGTCACTCCACCTCATATTAAAGATAGCTAATTCTGAGGGATGTTTGTGTGAGTCTCAGTACTTTCAGCAGTTGTACCTGTGGATTCAATGGCAGAATTTGACCAGCAGGGAAATAGCAAATACTTACTGGAAGTTTGCAGCCTCCCTTGTCACACAGCTTTTTGATGAGTGCACCAATGATGATGGTAATAGTTTCTCTGATTTCACTATTTCCAATCTGTCCCTGGAGTCTGTTCTGTTATTTAAAGGGAACACTGTTAGCCTGCACGTTTGAATAGAATGGTACAAATCCTGTGATGTACTGTGCACCCTCCACTCCTGTTGACTTCCTTGGGAAATCAGGGTGCTCATCACCTCACAGGGATGCCCTTGTACTCAGCAGAGTACTATTCTGCCATCAGGTGCAATAACCAGATGTGATTTTTTTCCATTTACATTTCATTCAGAATATCTTGGCCCAGCTGTTCCTTATGAAGTGGATGTTTAAAGCCTCATGTCCGAAGATAATAAAATACTTAACTCTTAGATGAGCCTTTTCATCTCTAAATTGCCATATTAACAAGAACAATTTGTAAAATGTTGCTTGATCTGGTGGTCTCTAGGAAAACTGGGGAAGTACCAAGATACGGTTATGTAATAGGTTCTGTATGTTGTAAGCACAGGTGACATTTACAAATTAGATACAGGTTCTGCATCTGATATCCTATGTATAGTGGGTACTGTTTGAGCCAGGTTGTGTAGTAGAACATGTGCACCTCAGTGTTGTGAGTTAGCTGGACAGCACCTCTTCCCTCCTGTCTCAGCAGGCTTAGGCTCTTTAAGCAATAAATGAGTTTGTGTTTTCCCAGCCATTTTGCTTACCATTAAAGATTTCAGTAGCAACTCATTGGGGAGGGAAGAAAATCCACAGGCATACAGGAACCGCTCCTGCAGCACAGAACTGCTTCCATTCTTAAAGTCCAGGAACTCCAGCATGGCCTCCAGTGAGGCTGGGGTCTGAGCAAAGGTCACAGCATCCACCAGCTGAGGACTGTAAAGGGAGAAAGGGAAATTAGCCAGTTGTTGTAGTGTGTTAGGCACAATATTGGAAAGGACACTGCTACTTACAGAAACAAAGAGGTTGGGCTATTGACAAGTCTGATTATGGCAAGAAAATCACAGGTAGAATTTATTACTCTTTTTGGCTACTCCTGCTTTCAGCATTTACATTTTTAGCAAAACAAGTGCTCCTGAAATATTCCAGGGTAAGATAGCTGAAGGACTGCAAGAGGTACTACATGCAGATGATGCTCTGTTTTATGCCAACACAGAGTATGACAAAAGGGTTCTGAGTATTTTAAAGTCCACAGGGCTAAATCTGAAATAAGGAAAAGTGTGTCTCTAGAAAGAAAAAAGATATAGCCGCACATAAAGGGGGTTCCAACAAGCCTGAGTTCCAGTTTTGGCCAGTTTTTTTTTACCAGAGACTATGCTACCTGGGATGCTATACAGTTATCAGAGACATCTAGGGACTGAATAATAGACTGCAAGAGTGTATTATTGCAGAAGCAAACACTATCACAAAAAAATCCCCTTTCCTGTAGATAGTGTTAACTATTACAGATCCATCATATCACCAGTATGTGTATGGATTACTCTCTCCCATGCACCCATCCCACATTTGTGTGTATTGTAAACCCTTTATTACAGCATCAAAAATTGCTCTTGGTGACTTACAGTACCACATTTCTTTCACTTCTAAGAATTTGAAGTATCTCCTCTTTCGTAGCTTTCCTGAGGTTCTGAATAAAGGACAAAAAATGTCTTGTTGCTTCAGCATTGGAAAGGTTTTCGGGTTCCAGTTGTTTCCTGATAGCTTGCCAGTGCTCAGAAATCTGCAAAATAATTAAACAAATTGACGTCAAACCTTATGCACTGGTTTCAATTCTTAGGAATCAATCCCACAATAGATATGCTGAATATAGTTTATAATAGTTAAAATGTCATATATATTTAGAATTCCTTAAATAGATAATTAATATTCCCATGGTACCTCAATCCATGTATTCCTTTAACCTTATAAAGGTCTCAAAAATTGCATATTGAAGTGAAACCAACATTGAGTTTTTCATTAAAGTCTATCACTTGATTACTACACAATATCTGAAATAGGATACATTTTGGTCCAAAACATGTTTGCCCAGTGTCTGGGAGAAGCAGCACAGTTCTTTCAGGTAAATATAGTGTTCCCATAATGTGCCTCCACTATTCTTGAAACTCCATTATTGAAAGAAATGTGAAATGCCATATTACAATTTTTTTTAGAAAATGGCACTTTGTAAGAAGCCTTTACCAATGTGTCCATAAGAGTTTCCCATTTCTGTCTTCTTTAGTTGTGTATGGTGGGGAAGAGTGGTAATTTGCAGCTGCTTTATAAAATAGTGGTTAGCAGAGTATTAGAAACAGGATGCTTTTGCATACCTCCACCTGTTGAATCATTAATAATATTTAACATGTATATAGAATATCACTTCATAGTATCTTAAAAGTGCTCCACCAACTATATAAATATAAAATTGAAATACAGCTTTCTCTGCTGTGGTGAATAGCAATCAAATGGAGCATAGCATTCTGCACAACAGTTGTGAAAGGGAAAGGAGGGTGAAATTTAAGCAATGATAAAGAGTCAGTCACAAGTGATGCACATTCACCAGCATTACAGGAACACGAGAATTGCCATACTAAATCAGACCGATGGTTTGTCTAGATCAGTGTCCTGTGCACAAGAGTAAGAAGTACAAGATACTCGAGAGGGATAGGCAAGAAATCTTGCAGTAGGCAGTTATGGGACATCATGCCCAAAAGGAAAGTGTCTTCCTTCCTTTTCTGGTTAGAGATTAGTTTATGGCCTGAACCATGAGGATTTATGTCCTATCCAGTTGTTGTCATCCCCTCCCTGTCTCTTTCTCAATTCTTACCAGTGTATCTCTGGATGTTTCTGAAACAAAAGACAGAACTATGTAGCACTTTAAAGACTAACAAGATGGTTTATTAGGTGATGAGCTTTTGTGGGCCAGACCCACTTCCTCAGATCAATATGTGGAAGAAAATCAGCACAACCATATATACCAAAGTGATACAATAAAAAAAATGAACGCATGTGAAATTGACAAATCAAATTTTAGAACAGAGTGGGGGTGATGGGGGAAGGTTAGTTTCTGTGAGGTAATGACATTAGGGGTGATAACTGGGGAAGCTATCTTTGTAATGGGTGAGATAATTAGAGTCTTTGTTTAAACCCATACTGTGGAACTCCTTGCCTGAGGAGGTTGTGAAGGCTAGGACTGTAACAGGGTTTAAAAAAGAGCTAGATAAATTCATGGAGGTTAAGTCCATTAATGTCTATTAGCCAGGATGGGTGAGGAATGGTGTCCCCAGCCTCTGTTTGTCAGAGGGTGGAGATGGATGGCAGGAGAGAGATCACTTGATCATTACCTGTTCAGTTCACTCCCTCTGGGACATCTGGCATTGGCCCCTGTCGGCAGACAGGACACTGGGCTGGATGGACCTTTGGTCTGACCCAGTACAGCCACTCTTATGTTCTTAAAATAAATCTATTAAAAAATGGTCTAAAGTAAACAGCTCTCGGGACCCGGCCCTGACACCCGCCCTGTTCCCCTCGGCACGCGGACCGGCCCTGACACCCGCCCTGTTCCCCTCGGCACGCGGACCGGCCCTGAAACCTGCTGTGACGGCGCGTTGGGGGTTCCCCGTCTCCTGCACCCCGAAATGGCACAAACAGACTGCACCAGCCAGTGGAATTGAGGGTGGTTTATTGCTCCTCCAGCACAGCGCAGCACAGATGTAATCTGGTTACAGGAACTGGGCTAGGATGCCTCAGGCCCCCTTGAGATGGGGGAGACTGGGCCCCTAAACTCCAGCCCCTTCCCCTAGGCTCTCCTCCATGCTCTTCCACAGTCTAACTAAATTCCCCTCCAGCCCTGCCCCCGCAGTCAGGGCAGCATTCCACCTTCCTTTGTTCCTCTCCATGGGGGGTGTCTGGCCACTGGTTCAACCAGTTTGGCCTTATCTCTGCCTAGCCAGGTTTTCCCTGCTGGGTCTTGCTCCAGACAGCAGGGGTCACCACAGCCCAGCAATTACCCCCACTACGTCACACATATATACCAAAGTGATACAATAAAAAAAATGAACGCATGTGAAATTGACAAATCAAATTTTAGAACAGAGTGGGGGTGATGGGGGAAGGTTAGTTTCTGTGAGGTAATGACATTAGGGGTGATAACTGGGGAAGCTATCTTTGTAATGGGTGAGATAATTAGAGTCTTTGTTTAAACCCATACATAAAGTGTCAAATTTAAGCATGAATGACAATGCTGAAGCTTCTCGTTGAAGTCTGGAGTTAAAGTTTCTTTGAAGCAAGTGCTACATAGTTCTGTCTTTTGTTTCAGCTACACCAGACTAACACGGCTGCATCTCTATCACTATTCTGGATGTTTCTGTTAGTGATATAAATGTCCAATTCCATTTTTTCCAATACAGTTAAGCTCTCTGCATCAAAAATAAATTGTATAAATTTTATAAATTTCTAGACTTCCCATTGTAGTATTTTAGAAGCCTATGTTCCATGTTAAGAAATCTGAAGTTTGAGAGAATTACTTTCTTTCAGACACCCTTTGGTACGAAATCTGTATTTTGACCTTTTCTCTATTCTATCGCCTGTCTCCACTTCCGTTATCTAGTACTAGAAGATTTACTCTGTGTTGCTCGGGTCCCTAATTCAAATACGTTTTGTTTTTCTTCATTTAAATCATTGTTCTGGGATGGGGTTGCGTATGAGGGATTCAGTATTCAGGCTGCCCCATGAAGAAAGGACACCCCCAGCCCATAGAAGATTGGGGGCAGGTGAAAAGTGCCTAGCTATGGCGGCTGCAGCTAGGGAAGGGGTGCATGTCCCCAGCTGGGGGACAGAAAGACAGACAAACAGACAATCTAACAGACAAACTCTCTGAAATATATAATAGATTGCTGCCCCTTTCTCCACTCCTGTCCCCTGCTGCCCAATGGGGTTATAGCTGTTCTGGTCCCCATCTCTGGCCCCTTGCTTCTCCCTGTGGTCATTTTGCAGTACAGCTGTCCCTCCTGCCAGACCCTTTCTCTTTTATGAGAAACAATTGAATTCCATGCACATTCCATTATCCTGGCACAACCAAACCCTGACCTTGCTTTAAGATATGACAAGAGGAAGCTGCATTCCAAATTTTGTGGTCCCAGCTCTTAGCATTTAGAAGGGGTTCTTGAACAAATGGACTCATGGACAGGCAGACAGACACATATTTCTAAAATATATAGTAAGATTATCTAGGGCATTCCTTGATGAAAATTCATCCGTTCATTGTAGTAGTGTTTAATGCAGTTCTCTGAAGTGGGAAATCACATCACCACCAGCTCAACCTTTGCTAAAATATTCTACCTTCATAGGACTTGTATTAAGCTCTTGAACCTGTCTGCCAACTGAAATACCATTTCAGTGGTACAGAGTGTAGTTTCCATGAACTGTGACAGTAATTAGGCAACAATGACAGAGACACTGGGTATTTCCTGGGGATTAAAGACCATCTGGGAGAAGTTGATTGCCTGGGGCACAGTTGGGGGCTGTTAATCTCAGCTGGTCACTGATGCCCAGCATCAAGGTCAGTATTGCTATTGGAAGCTGAAAATGAATAAATATACATTGCTGAGAGATGGGTTTTTGTGATAAGTGATGCACTTTAGTTGGTATACTTAGCACTACCCAAGATTACTCAAAATCATCTCTTAACATTCATTCAGCTGTAATGATCCTTAGATGTTTTCTTACAGCTGACCAGTTTGAGGAGGTGAGGCCCCAGGGAGAAGTATGAAGTCTCAAATTCATCAGGTCTTTAATTGCCAGGAAATGCTTCACCTATTGCTGTTAGAAATCATGCGAAACGGATAAATGACAAATTTATAATGTAGTTACTGTTTTTAATTGTTGATGAATTAATAACTGAACTGCATGAGAGGCAGCTTTAAATCTCAATTCAGTCTTTAGCCTGGGAAAAATACCATAAGCCAAAATTTTCAAATGTGCATGACTAAAGAAGCCATCTTAATAAACGGCTAGATTTCCAGAAATATTAGACTATAAGAACAGTGATTGCTCAGCACTTCTGAAAATCAAGTGACTTATGTGATATGCTTAAATAAGAGTTTATATGCTTAACTTTAAGCTTCCAAATTTAAAAATGTTGGCCTACCTTTCTCTGAGTCCAGGTTTCCTACTTTTAAAATGGAGATAATAATGGTTACTTTAATCCTAACCATATCTAAGTGAGCTAAATAATTTTTGTGGAAGCCTTTGAAAATAAAAATGGAGTGTGGCATAATATATATTTGTCACTCTGACACAATATGATATGAAAGTGCTAAATATTATGATGTTGCTGTTTTGGAAACCATATTCTATTTATAGACCTAGTCTATTCATAGCAGTTACAGTACAATACAGTAGGAAAGCAGGATTCCATTGTCAGCATTCCACTAGATTTATAGTTAGAATGCCATACCTCATTCCTCAGCAGGGCTCTATAGGCTATGATTTCTAATGTGACTTGGATATTCTCTCTATAGCCATTGTGACAAATTCAGATCCAGATGATTTGACTTCAGCTCTCACAATAATAATAAGTGAGAAACCGTTCAGTGTAAACTGTCATAAGCACAATCCCACAGTGAAGGACAGCACCTCTTTTTGACAGCTGTTTGCTTCCCATTGATGTATCTCCCCTCCCTTCAGAACTTCTTCATTACTCATACTAAATCCCCTCTGTTTCAGATTTACCCCTTATGTTTTTTGAGTTGTTGGTTGTTTTGTTTTTGTTTTTTTTAAACTTCTGTGCAGCTATACAAACTCAGGAAAAAACACATTACAGAATTATTTTACTGCCAAATAATTTACATAGGTCCCAGGACAGAAAGGTATTTTAAGTGCATGAACAGACCTACTAAAGACATAAAATATCTTGCTGAATTGGAGCCATACATTCTACATCAAAAAGTTATTTAGAATAATACATTCTAATTCTTGAGTATCTTTTCACTGGGAAAAAAGTCAATGGTTGTAATCAGTTAAAAAATTGGACAATATCAATTCACTTTTTTTAAAGTAGCATTTATCTTAGATTTTGCTAGTGTGTAAGTTTTAAATCTCAAAAATCAAGAATGTTTTGCTAAACGGAGTGGGAAGAAAATTTAGACTTTATATATATGTGGCCATTTTATTTTAAAATGATTATGATTACAATTATATTTATGAATGTATCTGTAAATTTTCAGAAACTTCATTCTCTATTCTTAAAACTATGTGCTGTAAATTTGTCAGGGGATACAAGACATTATTCATAGAAAACAAAAGGGTTTAATTCCTTTGTAAATACAAAATTCAGCTCGGCATTGACTTCTGACTCACTACAGCACCATCATAATGTTCAGAAATTTGGGGGGAATTCCTGTGGAATATATAATAGTACATCGGCAATCTTTCTTTGGCATATTTGTTGGATAGAAATTTCTTTTTCAAACCTGTTCTACTCCCCTTCTTGAATTTAAGTCTGACGATTTGTTTACTTACCGAGGGACAGTTTTTGCATTCAGCCATGACTGGCTCTGCCACTAGTGGAACAGCTACATAATTAGAATCCAAAGTCTTGATCACACTGGCAATCTGCTTCCCAGCAATCACTCTAGGCCCCGCTTCTGTTGACTTTAGTTCCAGTTTCTGCCTGCACATCCACACAATGAAAAATACTAAGTCTGAATGTGTTTTAAATAAATCAATCAATCACACGGAGAAAAAAAATATCCCACTGGTATGAATCATAGAACCAATGAATTTCTCATTTGAGAAGTTATAAGAAAACACTGTTTCCATTTTAAGCTATCAGCAGGATTTAACACAAGCTGAGTTGTTGCTGGAAGGAAACAGAGAAAAACTATCTAATAAATATTGGGCTACCTAGGATCCAGATCAATACCATATGGTAAATATCTTTACTGCCATATTATTTAAAGCTTTGTCTGCAGTTTGAAATGTTTCATGTGCTTCTTTATAAGAAAATTCTGTCTACTGAAATGGCAAATTCCCTGCTTTCTTGGAAAGATGTTATGCTTTTACCACAATGCTCAAGGCTTGTCTGTATGCAGATGTAGTGCACTGCAAGCTGGGCGGTAAATCAATGGCATACTAGCTTGTTGTGCATTAAGTGTCCGGGTAGACTCTGCCATCCAAACAGCAGTATGTCAACACTCTCAGTGAAAAGTGACATACTGCTGCTTGGATGGCAGAGTCCATGTGGTGACTGTATGTGCAGCAGTATAGTAAGCTACACATTTGCACCCTAGTAGTTTGCTGTATACCAACTGTCTCAGTGGACAAACCCTAAGAATGTTCCTGAAACTTTTCCCTGGACATGAATACCTCCAAACTTTGGGGGTTGATAGGTTTGGAATCTAGATTCCAACACAGGTCCAAATGTGTTACCTGCATTAAGAATGTGATAAAAAGTTGGGAGGGGAAAATCAAAAGCCAAAAAATCAGCACTCTGTTTTAAACATTCTTTTCATGGACACTTTGAACTTTTCAAAATAGTCTGACCAGCACCTAATGAATATTATTTCATTATTTATTACTTATGGCAAGGCTACTCAACTTTGGAAGCCCCAGGGGCCACAATGATGCTCACAGCACATGCCTAGGGACGCAACTTAAGTGTGGTTGCATATACAGTAAACTTCCAATAATCCGGCACCTTTAGGACCCAGGGGGTGCCGGATTATCAAATATGCGGCCCCAACCCGCCAGCACCCCAGCTACTCTGCCCCCGGCTTCCCCGATTTAGCTGCTGGTCAGTTTCAGCAGCGGCTGAATCGGGGAAGCCAGGCGCAGAGCAGCTCCATTTGTCCGGCTGCCCAAGCACTTCCGGGTTCCTGATGGTGCCAGACCATCAGGAGTGCTAGAGCACTGGATGCTGGACTAATGGAGTTTTACTGTACACGCAAATATATATGCAAATAGCTTCTTTCACACAATGTCCCGGCGCTCCTGGCACCTCCTCCCTGAGGGTTAGAAACGCCAACACCCTGCACCCGTCTGTTCCAGCCAGCCCGTCCCCTTCATCTTTCAATGCTCATCGCGCCTGGGCGATGCCTCCCCATTGTGGAACATGTTCCCAATGGAGGCCATGTTCAAATGACCCCACTTGTGGGCCGTATGTTGAGCCCCGCATAAACCCAAACCACCCCCATGGGCCGCCTACAAACAGGCCGCATACAGCCCATGGGCTGCGTGTTGAGTAGCCCTGACTTATGGTATGATTGTACATTTGCACCCCATTCAACTAGGTGTTCAACAAACATATAGGAAGATAGAAATCCTTTCTACAAAGTTTTATGGTCTTAGGCCATGATCGTGCAGACACTTTCCTCACACCAGCAAGTCTCCCTGCAGTCAGTGGCACTGCTTGCATGAATAAAACACACATGGTTAAGTGTTTGCAGATACCAGCCCTAATTTAAGTCAAGACACCACAAGTGTGTATGACAAAGAGTAAGAAATAATGTGGGAGGGAGAATGATGACAGAAGTGACTGCAAAATATAGTTACATAAACTAAATATATACACTACTACTTAATGGTTTTCTATTTTTAATTATAAGGTAAAGTAAACATATAAAAAGCATAGAATTAATTACTCCTACTGGTCATCTACCCAGCCATTATTAGTTGGAAAGTGCTAAATATTATGATGTTGCTGTTTTGGAAACCACTTAAACTTTTTTGAAAAATCAAATTAGTCGCCTTACTTGGAAACTATTTTGGCATTTGTTGTTTGCTGGAAATTCAGAGATAAAACATGATTCTCTTCTGCCCTCACGGATTTAATAAAGTCGTCTTCTAGCACATAAATTGTAGCAGATGTGGCTTTTGTACTGATATCTAAAAGCTGAAAAATAATAACAAACAATAAAATAGGGTCAGTGTCTACAGTCCAAACACAAGGCAAAACTCTTAATGAATCAAGGCCCTATTGAGGAATGTGGGACTGGGCTTATCTCCCAGAGTAGGAAAGGGATCTAAGCCCAGGATTGGGAACCAAGATCTCCAGTGTTCTCATTTCATTTCTGACATGATCTCTCTCTGTGACCTTGTCAGTCACTTTCCCATTATGCATCTCACATTTTTCATTAGCAAATTACAATAATGCTTACCTACCTCACAGCGGGCAGTGGGAGAGAAAAAGGGGGCATTGAATATTGCTAAAAATACATCTAATAAGTCATAGATCAAGGGGTTTTGTTTAAGGCAACTATCAGAAAAGAAGATTCTTGAGAATATCAGTGGGATTACTCCTAGGAGTCAGATTTATTCATGTGAGTACATGTGGCAAGCTCTGGCCCAACACTGTTTGCCTCCCATATCTAGAACATATTGTGGAAAGCAAACTAGCTCTTGGCGTTAGTGACCTGTTAGCTTGAAATATGTCTTATGCTTAGGTCCAGCCAGACTTTCCTTTGTGCAGGATCGAAGACAGAGCAAGGCAAAGAAGATTGTATATCACCTTTGTGCTTTTTGGATCTCTACAGTATCTAGTTGAATATCCTTAGCAACAGCATGGCTCTAATTTGCACTACTTAGAAACAGCCCAAAGGGGGCACTTATGCTACCAGAGATCACTAGAGCATAGCCACTTTGTGGCCACATCCACACGATATCTCCCCTTTGTCATACCAGGGGAATCAGCTCTGCAGTCAGACCAAATTTACTACCCTTCTAGCCCACCAATGTGCCGTATCAGGCATCAGGATCTGGCTCTACAACAGCAGCAGGTACTAAACTTACACTTACTAAACACTTTCATAACAGCTGGGGAAGGGTTTACAATTATTAGTAGTACTACAAATACACAGAAGCATTACTCACATAGAAAGCAATAATTGATTAAAACAAAAAAGAAAACAGGACAATATCTTGGAAGATGTTGCAAGTATGCTATATACTGGGTCAGATCACCAGCTGATAGAGCAGATCATAATTCCACTGACTTCAGTTAAATTATGCCATTTTACACAGATTGAGGCTCTACCGATGTTTTCATTTGTTGGTAATCCATGTAATATTTTTGGGTGAAGCATATACAGCAAGTGTCCTACATGAAACATGCAGCTATAAGCATGCATTCTACCATACAAGAAAGGAAATAATGAGAGCAAGTAAAGAGGGTATTTTAAAGTAAAGCAAATAATGTACATTAAAATGACTTCCATTGGCTGCATATATATCACTACATCTGAGCAAACATCAAATGAACATGACTGAAAACTGGCTGTTTTAATTATCTGATTTTTTTTGTATTTATTTCTTTCAAATATAAACAATATTATACCTCATTATAGCTGGTAAAACCCGTCTTTTCAATTTCACAGGTGCCCAGGGCTTTAATTTTAGTCACTTGATTTTCTCGAGCATGGTAAGTAATATTGCATTTACCAGAGACATCCACCTTGAAAAGGAAAAAGTATTTTCAGAGTTACCCATTTCTCATTTGTTGTACTGTTGTTGTTTGTCTTTTCCCCCCTCATACATATACACCATCTTTGCTCAATGGCCAGGTTGGAATATTTGAAACTGAACCCACATCTTCACTTGCTGTTTGAGGTTGATTTTCAATTGGGGTTTGTTACTTTTTAATGGGGGGGAGAAGTAAAAGTAGGGATTTAAGTGACTAAGCAAACTACTCGACTATGGAATAGTCGAGTAGGAACTTGATTAGCGCTTTACCCTCCCTCCCTTGTTGCCTCTATCAGAGAGAGGCAGCAACGGGGGGGAGCACAAGCCAGTGTTAGGGGAAGCCGGTTTGAAAGGTTTGAAAGCTGGTTCCCCCAAGCACTGTATCCACAGGGGGCAGCAGAGAAATGGTGCAAGTGGGGATTGAAACAATCTCACTCACACTGGTCCCACTGCTGCATCTCTCCCTTTGGAATATACAAGAGCCATGGGCAGCTCTTGTACATTTCAAAGAAAGAGGTACAGTGGGATAGCAAGCACCCCCCCCTTATCAACTAATTTGAGTTAGTCGATGGAAATGCCATCAACTACTTGATTAGCTGATTAATTGAAATTTAATATCCCTAGATTAAAAGTCTGCTGGATTTATTTTTGTTCACATTATTATGTTTTTACTTATGCAAAAAGTACTTTCTCTTGGATGAGCAGAGATTATTTTTATTAGCTGCATGGGGAAACATTAATTAAACAAATAGGAATTTATAAACAATTGAGTATGATTGCACTGAATTTGCTTCTGCTGGAGTGAATTTTGGCATGGCTCCGGCCTTGTTTGTATTAAAAGTTTCATGAGCTTAGTTCAAAGTACTATATTAAACCAATGTACTTAAACCATTGCTAAGCCTTCATGGACACTTTATTCTATTTAAACCTCACTTTACATTGATTTTTTACAGAATTAAACTAAATTGAAACTGTTGCATAAAGGTGGTCTCCAGTGAGAATATTTTGGGGTAACAAAAACAAGAGGCTTTTAAATCAAACTGGGTATGTCTACACTACAGCGCTAATTCGAACTAACTTAGTTCGAATTAGTTAATTCGAACTAAGCTAATTCGAACTAACGCATCTAGAACTAAAAACTAGTTTGAATTAGCGTTTTGCTAATTCGAACTAGCGCGTCCACATTAAGTGGACCCTGAAGCGGGGTTAAGGATGGCCGGAAGCAGTGCCGGCAGGGCATCAGAGGAGGACTTAGAGCGTGGAGATGCTGCCTCAGGCTAGCCGAGGGCTGTGTTTAAAGGGTCCCGAACCCCACCCCGGACAGACAGTTCTCAGGGATGCCCCGCTTGCAAAGCAGTCCTGGCTTGAAGTGCCCTGAGTGCCCACACTGGGCACATCACAGCACTCGGCCATCAGACCGGCTGCACTTGCCGCAGGCTGCCATCTGGGGAGAGGGGGCAATTGGGGGGCTGCAGGAGAGCTTCCACCCCCAGAAGCCCGCAGAGCCAGCCCGGAGGCTCGTACCCCAATCCTCCCTCACCTCCTTCCACTTACCCTTCCCTAGCCCCCCTTCTTATTGATGTACAAAATAAAGATAACGTTTCTTCCAACATTGACTCTGTCTTTATTGAACAAAACTGGGGGAGACTGGGAAAAGGAGGTGGGAGAGGGGAAGAGAAAGGCTGGGAGAGGGGAGGGCAACTAACATGATCAGGGGTTGGGAACAGGCCCCAGATGAAGAGAGGCTACAGAGACTGGGACTGTTCAGCTTAGAAAAGAGGAGACGGAGAGGGGACAGGATAGAGGTCTCTAAAAGCAGGGGTTGGGTGGAGAGGGTGCATTCAGAAAAGTTCTTCATGAGTTCCCATAAAGAAGGACTAGAGGACACCAAAGGAAAGGAATGGGTAGCAGGCTTCAAACTAGTAAGAGAAAGTCGTTCTTCCCAAAGCAAATAGTTAACCTGTGGAACTCCTTGCTGCAGGAGGCTGTGAAGGCTACAACTAGAACAGAGTTTAAAGGGAAGTGAGATAAAGTGATGGAGGTTGGGTCAATGGAGTCCTATTAGCCAGAGGGTAGGAGTGGTGTCCCTGCCCAAAGTTTGTGGAAGGCTGGAGAGGGATGGCACGAGACAAATGGCTTGGTCACTGTCTTCGGTCCATCCCCTCCAGGGTCCCTAGGGTTGGCCGCTGTTGGCAGACAGGCTACTGGGCTAGATGGACCTTTGGTCTGACCCAGGACGGCCATTGTAAGCTCAGGGCTCAGTGTCGGGGGTCTCAGTGGACCCCCTTGATTTTCATGCACACCTGGTCCTGGGTGGCCAGGCTGGCAGCTCTCCTGCCCTAGACGGCCACTTTCCTGTGCCTAGTGCGGAGATCGTGGACGAGGTCCACGATGTCCTCACTAGCCGGGGAGGGGGGGGAGGGCTGGGGGGCACCGGGTGGCTGGCTCGAGCCGTGCCAGGTGCAGGGTCTGCTGTCTGGGTGCTGGCAGGCTTGCACCTGACACGGGCACCGTAGCCAGCCCGTGCCCCTTTAAGGGGTCTGGGGCTGGTAGGGGGGGCATAGAGTTTCCCTGGTGTTGGCCAGAGTGGCCACCAGGGAAACCTGGGGAGGGCTAGCCTCCCACTAGTTCGAATTAAGGGGCTACACACCCCTTAATTCGAACTAGCTAGTTTGAACTAGGCTTAATCCTCGTGGAATGAGGATTACCTAGTTCGAACTAAGCGCTCCGTTAGTTCTAAATAAACTCGAACTAACGGAGCGCTAGTGTAGTGTCTTTGAAAGTTAGTTCGAACTAACGTCCGTTAGTTCGAACTAACTTTGTAGTCTAGACATACCCACTGAGAGTCCACAGTGTGGTAGCTCTGCTTTCACTACATTAGTTTTTAAACCATATAAAGTTAAACATTTGCAATTTGAATGTAGCCAATCAGTATTACCAAAGTCTTTCCTGATGAACTTTTCAATCACAAGTTCAAGTTTAAACAAAACACCAAATTCTGTCATGGCCTTTAAATTCTTCTGAGGTCAGTGGCAGCCACACACATACATTCTAGGACTGAACTGGACTCTCAATCTGATTATTTCTTTATTGCTGATGTAAAACAGTACCTCCCTGGCAGCACCAGAGTGCAGCTGTATCTGAAATAGGCTAGCCAGGCCTCTCTTGAGATTCTGAATAACTGCAGGTTCATTTTTATAGGAGTAGAAGTTTTTAACCTGTGAAAACAAAAACAAACAGTAACTGAATACATCTGATTAAATCAGAGAACTATCGCATGACCTCCTGCAAACTTCTTTCTAGTTTCCAGTGTCCTGCTCAGGAAACTGAGCTTTATTCACCTTATTGGACCTCATCCTATAGTTCTTTCTTATGCAAAACCCCAGTGACTGCAGGATCCAACTTATAACTGAATAGGGCTATGATATTTCAAGCCTCTAACAATAACTAAATAAGGTTTCACTTCAGATGACTGACTTCCTGTGTGCTATTAAGAGAGACTTTACCAAGGAAATGGAAGACTAAATATAAGAGCACAAGTAGTTCACTTAAATGTAGATTACTATGGGTCCCTTAGAGCATTATTCTCTGTAAAGATGTAGACAAAACCTTCACATCCCACACTAATCCCACCTTTCACACTCTGTTCCCTCCCCACATACATCTAGTACCCATTGCACTTTAACCACGTTACAATAAATCAGAATGAATCATACGTAAATCAGAGTTGAAGGGACTTAAATGACGTGTCAAGCACACGCCAACCTTTGAACCACAAATGACAACTGTCATGTATCAACTCTTTCTCTAGTAACAAAAGACTTTGCACCTTCACTCTGCATTTAAGGAGCTTTTATACTGCCCTTCTTCCTAGAAACTGTAAGTGTAATCAATATGTTATCTGTGTTAGTGTTGCAGCAATGTAGGGCACAGGTGTGGAAGAAGAGATCCTGTCTTTGTGACAGGGAACAAACTAACATTCTACTTGGCAAGAAAAAGTTTATTGAAAGCATTATATGAAAAACTACATCTTGGCCGCTAGTATGAGAGCTGCTTCTGCCAACATATTTGCAGTGTATTGGGAGCAGACGTTTTTAGGTTGTGTCAGTTTGATATTTTAAACCTGGTCTAGAGTTGTGTACAGTGGAGAGTCAGTGCCATCCTGTTTCTTTTTGTTTTCTAAAACTGACAACAAAGCTAAGTTTGAAACTTACTGAACAGGCCTAGTGGCACCTGCAACTGGGTAGGCCAAACTGACAGCCAGTGTATGTCCTCAGAACCTATTTACAGCACTCAGTCAATATCTTTTGGGAGTCAGATTGTCATAGTTCTTGGCTGACTATGAAGAGTGCTCAAAAGGAGAGATAGCCCCACCCCCACTCCATGCACTTCCCTGCTCAGCACAACTCAGATTGTCACTGCTCCCCTGATATTCTCTACTGTGGGTCAGTGGGTAGCAAAGCAATAGAGAGGGAGTGGCATATCTTGGCTTGTCCTTCCCCATTCATTAGCAAGAATAGCTAGCTAGGCATAGTGGGGAAACTAAGCTACTCCATGAAAGAGGGTGAAGCTGCTCCCAATAAACAGGAGCTGGGTTGTTCCTGTGGCAGTGTAGAAATGTGCTCCCCTTTTCTTAGGACAGGTTGTAAAATGACAATCCAGGCCATTGCCAGTAAGAATGGAAACACATTTTTTCCTTGAATCTTGATTAAAATTCCACAGGACAGGAACAACACAGAAGACTTCAGGATATTTTATTTAATGATTTTGTAACCAGTGGAGGCTCTATGTGATGAACTGATGTGAGTCCTATCTTGGATGGTGATCTCAGATAAAGTTTTCATGAATACTTCCATGGCTTAGTGCCTATGCCACATTTCCAAAAGTAAATTAGGCAGTCAGGAGCCTGTATCTCATTGAAATCATCAAAGATTCAGGGATCTGGATATCTTAACTATTTAACTTATCTGATTACAATAATTTGCACTAACATTGCTATCTATAGCCAATAAGGATAAACTCAAGTACAGATATCACCTGATTGCTTAACATTACACCAGACTAGACTCAGTGTAGTCTACCTTCATGGTGAATAATATTTCCTCTTCTCCCTCTACCCCTTAAGTGAAATCCTGGCCCCAGTGAAATCAGTGACAAAACTCCCACTGATTTCAATAGAACAAGGATTTCACCCCTTATCACTAGGTGAAATTGTTCAGTTTTACAGCTTTAGCTACTGTCTATATACCAATGATTCCCCCAATTTATCTCCTCTGCCTATTCTTCTGGGATGCTGTGGTCTGCTTTTTCTGCTGTGCTGTGTCTGTAGGCTGGAGTGGGTGCACCCATGGACTTGCTTTCTCCTGGCCCTCTTTGCATAACTATCTGCCCCCAGATGCACACAGAGAAAGCAGGGACTAGTTCTGGCTGGCCTCTATGCAAGATATTAAGTGCTTGATGTATATAGCTGCATAGAGGAAGCTACTGTATTTGCAATGCAAAAAAGATGGTTTTATATGCCCTACCTATGGGCTATGCTATATATTCTTGAATGCCATCTCCTGTCACCTTACCCATGAACTATTTATATATATACAGACATTAGAAGATTTTTCTGGTGTTGCTCAGGTTCTTAACTAAAATCAGTTTTATTTTTCTTCATTTAAATCATTGTGCTGGGATGGGGATGGGGATGAGAGGTTCTGTATGCAGGCTGCTCCAGGGAGAGAGGACAACCCCAGCCCTTTCTCACTGCAGCATCTTGGGGCCACGTAAGAAACACCTGTCCATGGCTGCTGTAGCGGGCACAGCTGGGGAAAGGGTGCATATCCCCAGCTGGGGAACAGACAGACACACAAACAGACACACACTCTGAAATATATATAGTAGATAGCTGCCGCTTTATGCACTCCTACCCTCTCCTAGCCCAGTGGGGTTACAGATGTCCCCATCCCCAGCTCTGGTCCTTGCTGCCCCTCTGTAGTCATTCTGCAGTAAAACTGTGCCTCCTACCAGACCCTTTCCTTTCCATTTTATGAGAAACAATCTAATTCCAGGCATATCCCATTGTCCTGGCACAACCAACCCTGACCTTGCTTTAAGTTATGATAAGAGGAAGCCGCATACCAAATTTGGTGATCCTAGCTCTTACCATTTAGGAATTCGTGAACAAATGGACTCTCAGACAGATGCACAATTCTAAAACATATATTAACATAGAGCGCTCTCATAACACAAGGAGCCAGGGATTGACAAGGCTCTTTATGCCCTCCCCACAATGCCCTTAAATAATACAGCAAGTCACAGATTAGCCCAAAATTAATATATTTTATGTACAAAAATAAGACATGATATTAATAACTCTAAAGAGACAACAAATAGTTAATTTTTTTTCATGCCAACAAGAAGCTTGTTCAGAGCTTCCTCAAGGAATATGCATGAATTTTAAAAAGCAGGGACTTACCTTTCCATGGGTCCATTGAAGAATTACAGGCCTTTGTAAAGCTGACAGATATTCTTTTTCAATTATATTCTCTGAGTGCTTCCCTTTAAAGATATTTTTTGCTGCTGGACGTTCAGTCACATTTTCAATCTTAACATCTTTTATCTAGAAAAATAAAAGCAAAAAATGCATAGGGAGCAATCGTGTGTTGGCAGAAGGATGGATGGACAGACGGACAACATCACCTAATAGTTCTATTCATTCTGCTATTTGCTTTCTATGGTATGTGTGAGACTGATGTAGGGCAGATTTGCAAAAACGAGTCAGAACCTATCACTGAAGATTTTTTCAGAGCAACTGAGGAAAGCAGTTAACAGAAGTGGCTTGATTTTTAAACTTACATAGCAAACTTTTTAGTTTTCAGGAAAAGCTGCTAAATGCTGAGCACATCTGAGCACACTGATGGCCATGCCTAAATGGAAGCTGTTGGATGCAGCTGTGTTAATCTTACCTATAATGCTTTGATACCACATGGTGAATTTATAATTTGTAGGCAGTTATTGAACCTACATAACTAATCAGTTGGTGGGAGTCAAATAGGATGTAGATTTAGCTGGTGATATGCTCATCTTATAAAAAAAAATTGAATCCCAATAGGAAACATTTCTTCAAGATCTACCTACCTATATTGTTATCTAAACATAACTTGCTAAAATATCTGTGACTCCTAATAATATTTACAACAGGGCCTACATACTGACTCTTTGATAAGGCAGTTAAATCTTTTTTATTGTTTTGTATAGACGGATCCTGGGAAACATTTATTTTTTCATTTGGATGGAGTTTTGTTTTGAATCTGAGCATCACTCCAGCAAACTATAATCACTACAGTAAACAAAGCATTACATATGTTACATAAACATAATGAAGGACTTGTCATAAATCAAAACTTAGAAATAGAAAAGACCTATTCGATGAACTTGTCCACACGTGGATGGCTCCTATAGCAATAGGAGTGCTCAGAACGTTGCATGGCCTGCCCTTTCCCAAGGATATCTTGTTTCAGCAGGTGACAGATTTCTGGCCTATAGATGTGTCATCATCTGTTTGAATAATTCATCCCAATATTCATAAACACTAATTTACCATCCATGTGGCAAAGCAACATAAAATGGAAATTAGACTACTGAAAATAGGGGGGTTTAATGTAATTGTCGGCTTTTATACGCTTTTGAAAACTCCTACCATAATTTTGATCAACTGGTCATCATCATTGTTGGGGTTTCGCCATACTAGGTTGACATCAACACCGGATGAAATCCGGTAGCCCGCGCTGTCCTCTGGTAATCCTTTAACCCTATTGATAAGCACTTCAGTTGAATAGGTGAATTTGTATAGCTTGTCATTATTTATTCTTGGTCCTGTAGTGTGCCCTGTTTGGAAAAAGGGAGACAAAAACGCACATGATATCATTTCAGTAATCACCATGGACCCAATGATCTGTCATTTCTCTCTCAAAAGTGTAGAATCAGCTTTAGAAGAACTAAAGACTTTTCCTCTGACAAAGAATTCAAGCATTGGTGGGACTGCTTTTGTGAGTTCAGGCAATTAAACTAGAATATCCATAAAAACCTTTGTAACTTTACACTGAGATATTAGAAGATTTAGCTTAGGTTCAAATTCTTCCCTTTGGATAGGTTTTTTTTAAAAAAAGGAACTCAGAGTGAGCTCAGAATATATCTATCACTAGAAAGCAATTTGTTTGGCAACCTGAGAATTGCTGAGTGCCCTGATCTCTCATGAAAGTTAATGGAAGTTGAAGGCACTCAGTCTATATTAGTGATAGAAATGTAGCCATGTTAGTCTGGGGTAGTTGAAGCAAAATGCAGGACAATGTAGCACTTTAAAGACTAACAAGATGGTTTATTAGATGATGAGCTTTCGTGGGCCAGACCCACTTCTGGCCCACGAAAGCTCATCATCTAATAAACCATCTTGTTAGTCTTTAAAGTGCTACATTGTCCTGCAGTCTATATTAGGAATCACTTCTCCGCTTTCAGGACCTTGCCTGTAGTCACTGTATTGAGACTCCACCCAAGGGATGACACAAATGAAAGCAGTGAAGATCAACAGAAAACAGTGGTGTTGCCTTTTTCATTCAGAGCAGTAAACCCATAAAATAAATGTTTCTAGGAGTTGTCACTTGATTTTTGTTACACTTAGACTAGACATATATTAGGAATCACTTCTCCGCTTTCAGGACCTTGCCTGTAGTCACTGTATTGAGACTCCACCCAAGGGATGACACAAATGAAAGCAGTGAAGATCAACAGAAAACAGTGGTGTTGCCTTTTTCATTCAGAGCAGTAAACCCATAAAATAAATGTTTCTAGGAGTTGTCACTTGATTTTTGTTACACTTAGACTAGACAATGTTTTAAAAGACACCCCACCACCACCACCAAATAAATAAAAAACCGCTGCGGCTTTTCTCTTGGTG